ATGTTCTCTAGGGATGACCAAACTAGGGCTGGCATGTTCTCTAGGGATGACCAAACTAGGGCTGGCATGTTCTCTAGGGATGACCAAACTAGGGCTGGCATGTTCTCTAGGGATGACCAAACTAGGGCTGGCATGTTCTCTAGGGATGACCAAACTAGGGCTGGCATGTTTACTAGGGATGACCAAGCTAGGGCTGGCATATTCTCTAGGGATGACCAAGCTAGGGCTTGCATGTTCTCTAGGGATGACCAAGCTAGGGCTGGCATGTTCTCTAAGGATGACCAAGCTAGGGCTGGCATATTCACTAGGGATGACCAAATTAGGGCTGGCATGTTCTCTAGGGATGACCAAGCTAGGGCTGGCATGTTCTCTAGGGATGACCAAGCTAGGGCTGGAATGTTCTCTAGGGAAGACCAAGCTAGGGCTGGCATGTTCTCTAGGGATGACCAAGCTAGGGCTGACATGTTATCTAGGGATGACTATGATTAGGATAATGACCCCAAGGAATGACCACTGTAGCATCACCTCTAGGGATTTCAACAGCTGGAATATTAACCACCATATTGATGGATAACCACAACACGGATGATCTGTACTAGGGATGACAACCCCACGGTCAGCAATTCTAGAGATGACCACTGCTAAGATAACTATTCTTATAGATGACTTCCGCTATATATAACTATCCTATAGATGACCACCACTATATATAACTATTCTATAGATGACCACCACTATATATGATAACTATTTTATAGATGACCACCACTATATATGACTATTCTATATATGACCACCACTATATATGATAACTATTCTATAGATGACCACCACTATATAAGATAATTATTCTATTGATGACCACTGCTATATATAACTATTCTATAGATGACCACCGCTATATATAACTATTCTATAGATGACCACCACTATATAAGATAACTATTCTATAGATGACTACAACTATATATGATAACTATTCTATAGATGACCACCACTTTATATGATAACTATTCTATAGATGACCACAACTATATATGATAACTATTTTATAGATGACCACCACTATATATGATAACTATTCTCTAGATGACCCCCACTATATATGATAACTATTCTATAGATGACTACCGCTATATATGATAACTATTCTATAGATGACTACCGCTATATATGATAACTATTCTATAGATGACTACCGCTATATATGATAACTATTCTATAGATGACCTCCACTATATATGATAACTATTCTATAGATTACTACCGCTATATGTAACTATTCTATAGATGACCACCGCTATATATGATAACTATTCTATAGATGACCAACACTATATATGATAACTATTCTATAGATGACCCCCACTATATATGATAACTATTCTATAGATTACTACCGCTATATGTAACTATTCTATAGATGACCACCGCTATATATAGCTATTCTATAGATGACCACCACTATATATTATAACTATTCTATAGATGACCACCACTATATATGTTAACTATTTTATAGATGACCACCACTATATATGATAACTATTCTATATATGACCACCACTATATATGATAACTATTCTCTAGATGACCACCACTATATATGATAACTATTTTATAGATGACCACTATATAAGATAACTATTCTATAGATGACTACAACTATATATGATAACTTTTCTATAGATGACCACCACTTTATATGATAACTACTCTATAGATGACCAAAACTATATATGATAACTATTTTATAGATGACCACTATATAAGATAACTATTCTATAGATGACTACAACTATATATGATAACTATTCTATAGATGACCCCCACTATATAAGATAACTATTCTATAGATGACCACCACTATATAAGATAATTATTCTATTGATGACCACTGCTATATATAACTATTCTATAGATGACCCCCACTATATAAGATAACTATTCTATAGATGCCTACAACTATATATGATAACTATTCTATAGATGACTACCGCTATATATGATAACTATTCTATAGATGACTACAACTAAATATGATAACTATTCTATAGATGACCACCGCTATATATGATAACTATTCTATAGATGACCGCCACTATATATGATAACTATTCTATAGATGCCACCACTATATATGATAACTATTCTATAGATGACTACCGCTATATGTAACTATTCTATAGATGACCACCGCTATTTATAACTATTCTATAGATGACCACAACTATATATGATAACTATTCTATAGATGACCACCACTATATATGATAACTATTTTATAGATAACCACCACTATATAGGATAACTATTCTCTAGATGACCACCACTATATATGATAACTATTCTCTAGATGACCACCACTATATAAGATAACTATTCTCTAGATGACCACCACTATATATGATAACTATTCTCTAGATGACCACCACTATATATGATAACTATTTTTAGATGACAACCACTATATAAGATAACTATTCTCTAGATGACCACCACTATATATGATAACTATTCTATAGATGACTACCGCTATATGTAACTATTCTATAGATGACCACCGCTATCTATAACTATTCTATAGATGACCACAACTATATATGATAACTATTCAATAGATGACCACCACTATATATGATAACTATTCTCTAGAGGACCACCACTATATAAGATAACTATTCTCTAGATAACCACCACTATATATGATAACTATTCTATAGATGACTACCGCTATATGTAACTATTCTATAGATGACCACCGCTATTTATAACTATTCTATATATGACCACAACTATATATGATAACTATTCTATAGATGACCGCCACTATATATGATAACTATTCTATAGATGACTACCGCTATATGTAACTATTCTATAGATGACCACCGCTATCTATAACTATTCTATAGATGACCACAACTATATATGATAACTATTCTATAGGTGACCACCACTATATATGATAACTATTCTATAGATGACTACCGCTATATGTAACTATTCTATAGATGACCACCGCTATTTCTAACTATTCTATAGATGACCACAACTATATATGATAACTATTTTATAGATGACCACCACTATATAAGATAACTATTCTATAGATGACCACCACTATATATTATAACTATTTTATAGATGACCACCACTATATATGATAACTATTCTCTAGAGGACCACCACTATATAAGATAACTATTCTCTAGATGACCACCACTATATATGATAACTATTCTCTAGATGACTACCACTATATATTATAACTATTCTATAGATGACCACCACTATATATGATAACTATTTTATAGATTATTTTTTATTATTATTATTATATGACCACTGCTATGATAACTATTGTATAGATGACCACCACCATGATAACCACAGTTAAGACAGCCTCCAGGAATGATCACCTCAAGGAAGGACGATGATAGATCTCTATGGATGATCACAGGCTTTTGATCTTTACTCCTTACGGATGATCATGTCTGGCAAGGATGATGATCGTTGATCCATGAAATTATTTTCGTCTTGGATGATTACTGGTTATGATGAAAACAGTCAAGATGACGAGACAAAACAAAAGTTATGCGATATAATCAAATATTTCAATTTCAAATACAACAACTTACTAACTTTTAATCATTTACACAATACTTTTAAAAAAGGTTCATGTGTCAAACCAAAAGTGCTTAAAATTATATTGATTTCATTGCATCTGGTCCAACTCACAGGGGCATGAAAATTAGTTCTAGGTCACATGTGTTTGGACCCATCTCCGTAAGAATGCCATTTCCATTGATGTTATATATTTTCACTGGAGGTGGAGCCATACAAGACTACTGTGTCAGAAGTGGCCCAAACTGTGACCTCCAATTCTCAGGTCCCTGTGTTCTAAGTGAGCTGTTGATTGTTCTGATAAATTTTAACAACCGATGTGCATGATGCTAAAATACCATTTCAATGGTAAATACAAGAAAATTCAGTTAAATCTAGAGATAAAAGATGCATGTAAGTCGTTATACAGTAATGGAATATTATTCTTGAGTGTTTATCATTATTCAAGTGAAATCTGTGATACAGTAATGGAATATTATTCATGAGTGTTTATCATTATTCAAGTGAAATCTGTGATACAGTAATGGAATATTATTCTGGAGTGTTTATCTTTATTCAAGTGAAATCAGCTTAGACAAGTTACAACAGTCATAGAAAGTTTTTTTAATATCAGCAATTTATACGAATTTCTTATTTTAAGTAACTTTGACATTGAATGACAAATTTCAGGTAACATGAAAGTTAGTCTCTTTATCCACCGTAAGGTCTGTATTGAGCATTAATTCAGGAATTTACTTTTTTTAAATTATTCTTTCTTCATGCATTTCATTATTTTCTTTGCAATCTTTACCTGTATAGCTATATCAACATTAACTTCTGAAAGGAATCGTGATTTATCAGGTATATGTAAATCATGAAGTAAATCAGATAGAGGAAATGTTGACATAGTCAGACAAGATATTTTCTGTGTGAATATAATGATATGACCTAGTTTTTGTGTTTACTGCGTAGTTTCTCGACCAACAATGAGTAATCAAAATGGCCGCCACTTGGGGAAAAAATGTCGGCCATATTGACAATCTGCTTGATGGGACATGTTCTGTAAATTCCTGAAAAGAGACTTCGATACCACCATGTATACAAGCACTGACTCCCAACTTTTTTCTTTGTGTTGTTGCATGATCTTTCCCAAACATTTTCGCATGAATCGAGTTTTACACAAATGATTTTCTTTAGTAACAAATATCATATTTACCATCCTAGAATCACAAAGGGACCAGAAACATTTATGAGAAAATGCTATGATCCCATCTCGTCTGCCACCTCTCCTCAATAGTTTTCCTTTTTTTCTCTCTCTCATAATCCAGTTTTATAATTTGAGCTGTTTAAGAATCTTTACAGGATCACACAAACGGGACCCAAAACATTTTACAAGAAAAATGTGTTGGTTCCAGTAAAAATCATTACCGTAGTTCCTTTTGGTAGTTTTTGTATTCCCTACAGGAATATTCCACCTTTTTCCCATACAACATCTCCTTTGATATATGTTAGAAAGGTGAACTTTTTATACTTTAATGTTTAAACCAATGACCTGGATAATGTTTCAATAATAATACACAATGTATTTGTCACAATCGTCCAGACATTGGTTTAAACATTTCACACTTCTGTTCTGCTGGTAGAGGATCCACAATACTTTGGAATTAGCCATAGCCAGAAAATATATTTTTGAAAAGCCGACTTCATGTAATCTCTAATTATCCGTTGATAATTCTTTCCTCCTCCACCTTCCCTCATCATTCTGTTCTTTCTTAAATTAACAACTATAAATCAGTAGATAAACATTTAAAATTGGAATTTTTTATTCTTGCTTTTAATTTTTCTTAGAAATTATGCACCTTTAAAGAGGCAAAAATATCAAAAACTTTTGTAAATGCCCCTTTGGTCTTAACTGTGCATTGCAAATTATACATACACAAATATTCTACATACAACAAATATTAAAACATGGAGATCATTATGGGACGCGAGATGAGTGAAAGACATACCCTGAATCAACAGGGGCGCACTTAGAACCTTTCACATAAATATAACCCCCGTCTTCCATCTTATGGCTGCAGGATTTGATTTCAAACATGCATCTCACAATTATA